ACCAAGCTTGTATCCTGGCACGATCTCGGTATCCTTTCGATAACACGAGAACGCCAGCAAATATATCCCGACTTGGTCTATTAACTGCATTCTGATATTTGGCTTCCGGGGGATTTTATGGAGTCATTTGGCACGAGTTTCTGGATAGCGCTGTTCATAGTCCATCTCGGCTAGTCACAACGCTACAAGTTATTCACAAGGTCTACCTTTTTCTCAAATCTTCTTGATACATCAGATGTTTATCTGAAATCAACATTAAACCTTAAATACCACTCCGTAAGTTCACACATAAAATAATCAAATTCTTTCAATCTACACATAATTGACAATCTTTTTTCAAAAGCCAAATTTTGTTTTGTGTACCGTAGTAACCAACAACAATGCGAAGTCTTTTCTTAATAAATCTTTTGTGTAATTTCTTCACCGTGATGGTTGGTTTTCATTTATAATACCTAGTTTCACAGATACGAGGAAACTAACAAACGAGTTGGGCATAAATTGTAAATACATGAGTAGTTAGGATATTATTATGTAACGTCAAAGACTAAATGAGTGTATCAATGGATTGAAAAGTTGGCGTTCGAGGCATGGGGGAACCCACAAACAATGTAGCACGCGCGGTTCTTTTGTGTAAGCATGGTAAAAATACGATGACAAAATATTGGGGAGGATACAGCAGGAATATTATGGAAAAGGTAAACTAATTTATATTGAGGATTAGAAAGGGAAATAAAACAAAATTCTAAGCACAAGGTGTTAATTAATACTTTATTTCAACACATCAAAGTAGCTGATAAAACAAAAAATATACCTGTAGCAAAGGTGAAACTACATAAACGAGATTGAGTTATTGAATAAGTGTGCCTTAAATGATAACAAAATGTTCAATCAGAGGCTCAAGAAAACATGTGCATATAAAAGTTTCATATATATATAAAACCTAATATTAATAATAATTCTGATGAATAAATAGTAAGTGACTAGTAATATCACAGGACTTATGCAATGTCACTGCGCTTTAGCCAAGTCATTCGGCAGTGTATTCTTGGAGCTCCAAACAGTTTGCTGATCCTCGTCATGGCTAAGGACAGACAACGCGTATCGATCAGTTACATGCCATGAATCAAACCATGTATCAACAACCGCGCTCAGTTTTGCATACCGATTCTCACAGTTACATTCCTTTTATGTCACAGTGTTCGTTCTATACGTCATGAAAATAGATATGATTCCTGGACATGATGATAGATTAACCCACTTCAGGTACTACATGTGAAAACACAGAAGGTGAAAAAAAGAAAATAAATAAATGCACACGTAATAGCGTAAAAAAGGATCTTTATAACATGGTTTTTATGTTTTGTTTTTTTCGAAATGAAAATATAAATATATAAGCATTTAAAAATCGGTGTTTTTATTACACATAGTACAAAGAGAAATCGAGATGACATAAAATGTCAACCAGTATCTTACGTGCAAAAATCGTTAAAATGTTCTAAAAATCTTACTCTTCTTCCAGAACGCGTTGTTTTAAGTTTAGTTTCTGATATTCCCGAAGTATTATCGTGTATGTTGGCTGCCGGTTGAGGTGTTGTAAGTGTAGGAGTCGTGCCGTTCTAGTGTACCGAAGGTAAGTCGACGTAAATAGGATTTCCTTCTGAATACGCTGCCTTGAGGCGATCGATGCTAATGCTATCATTGGGTCCGTTCTTATCGATTATATAGTACTTGGGTTTGCGTTGAACAACTTTGAACGGTTCTTCGTATGCTGATTCGAATGGTCGTCGATGTGAGTCTCGACGTACGAAGACGTGTGTACAACATAGTAAGTCAGGTTGAACGAAAACATCGGTTGATTGCTGTCGAGTGGAAACAGGGTTAACTGAACGCATTGCGTTTGTAAGCCTTTTCGTGTAGGAGGTTAGATCCATGTTCATTGAAGAAGATGAAAGATCCAAGAATCCTTCTGGAAGTCAAAGTGTCGTTCCATAAACGAATGGAGCCACAGTTTGTTTAATGTCAATTTTCACTACAAAGTGAATACCTAATAAAACGAGTAGAAGAACGTCAGTCCACTGTGAAACGTTTGCAGCTTATAGTGAAGCTTTTAGTTGTCGGTGAAAGCGTTCTACCAACCCGTTTGCTTGTGGGTGGTAGGCGGTCGTTCGGAAGCGAGTGCTTCCTAATATAGTGTGGTCAGACGACGGAAAAGTTCAGACTCAATCTGACGTCCGCGGTCCGTAGTGATGTTTGAAGGGCAACCAAAGTTTGCTACCCACCGTTCAACGAAGGCACAGGCCACTGTTTTAGCAATGATGTCCTTGATTGGTACTGCTCCTGGCCATCGAGTGAAATGGACGCAGGTTAAGATGTAAGATTCTCCATTTGAATCTGGTAAAGGTCTTACCAAATCCAGATGAACATGGTCGAAACGAGCACCGGAAGTTCTCAAAGAGCCCAAGGGAAAGTTGTTGTGTCTAATAATCTTAGGTTTCTGGCCGCTTACACAGGAGCGTACCCACTTTCTCATGTCTTTATTCATACCAGGACAGCAGAACCGTTCTGCTATAAGCTTGATGGTTGCACGAAATCCTGGATGAGAAAATATGTGCAACGTATGGAAGGCATTGCATCGATACTGTTTCGGCACGATTAGGTGTTCCCTACCTGTACATGTGTCACACAGTTAGGTTTCCTTACCTGTTCCCATCAGTTTGATGCGTAGCTTGAGGATTGTAGACGATAACTCGTGCTGAAGATCAGTGTCTTCTTTTTGAAGCTGGGCACGTTTAAGAAGGTCGATTCCTTGGAAACTATTCAAGGAAGTTATGTGAGACGAGGCGTCCGCGACTACATTGTATGCTTTAAAAATGTGTTGGTTCTAGGGGGTCGAACCTACGCAGCTGCGCACCTACAGTGTGTCATAAGAGGTCTAATGAGTCAGTTCCGATTCGGCATTCTTGAATGTTTACAGTAATCCCATGTTTTTGTCGTAAGTCGAAAACAAGATTCAGATGTTTGAGATGCGATTCGCTGTTCGGACTTACTATTAGACAGTCATCAACATGCGCATGTACGAAGTTGAGATCTCGAAAAACGTCGTCTACGAACCTTTGGAAAGTTTGGGCAGCGCTTCTTAGACCTGAAGGCATTCGCTACAATTTCGTAGGATCTAAAGGCAGCTATGATAGCAGTTTTCGGAATATCGTCAGTAGCCATGAGGATTCGGTTATACATTTTAACCAAGTCGATTATCGCAATGACAGTTGTCCCTTTCGAGGTAGCTGTCAAATCGTGAATGTGAGGCAACGGGTAACAGTTAGGGATGGATTTTTCATTCAATCGCTGATAATCACCAGTTGGACGCCAATTGTTGTTGTCCTTTCTATGTACCATGTGCAACGGAGATGCATAAGGGCTGTTTGACAGTCTTATGATACCTAAGTCTATCATGTGGTCTCACTCATGACCTGGTGCGGGAGCATGACCGAGCGCCTTCAGCTAGGTGAGTCCATTAAAACTACTGTGGCCAGTATCCAATGTCGAAAACTTTCAGAGGTATTTATTTTTGGGATTTATTTACCGTCACAACCGCATTGACTAGAATGAGTGCATTCGAGTGACTAAATATGGCAATTAGAATCACTCGAATTATTTTGCTGACTAGGAGTTTCCGAAATAGTACAATTTACAGCATTTAGAATCAGATGAGCATCAATGAAAATACTATATCTATAATTCGAAATAAGCGAGCAGTCATGTACAAAATAATCATAAGTTGATACAAATGCCACACCAGACAATATCAAATGAAAAGTTTCAAACATCCGGAACCGTACTGAACTCAATAATATCAATCCATTTTTGCAAGTTCGTGTTAAAGTTTTCAGATGTCTAGCAGCAGCATTACAGAAATCCTTCGAGATTAGCTAAAGTATGTGGTCAAACTGCTAACGTTCACAAGATCTCACTAATGTGGAACAGTAACTTAAGATTAAAAAACTAGAGTCAGGAAAATACCATTTTGATTTACATTATCTCGTCACATAGGCATTAAGTGAGAGAGTAAGAGAGTAAGTGAGAGAGATACGCAACCAAGACGATACACAGGCACATCAGGAGGATCTGACTCGACTTCAAAGTTGGGCAGACGATAACGGACTTACCTTTAACACTTCAAAGTGTACAGTAGTTCATTTGCGACATGTTGCAAACTACAGTTACAACTTAGGAAATTCCTCTCTAATAGTATCCCAAGTCGAAAAAGATTTAGGAGTCCTGGTGCCCCATGATTTAAAGTCTTACGCTAACTGTGACAAAAACGCCTTCCGAGCAAACCTTGCACTGGCAACGTTGAAGCGCATTTTTGGCCAGTTTGACAGAAGAACTTTCCATACAATCTTCAATAGTTTTATCCGTCCCCATTTAGAGTACGGAAACATAGTACTTCCTCCTCACCCCAAAAGGACAAGGTCACTTTGGAGCGTATCCAACGGCGAGCCACGAAGTCAGTTCGAGGACTCAAATCTAAGCCTTACGAAGAACGCCTCCATTCACTAGACCTTTACCTATTAGAGTATAGGCGTCTTAGAGGTGATTTATTAATGGCTTACAGTATTCTTAACATTTCTGGACATACTTTTAAACACCTACTTAAGCTTAGTTTGAATAATAACCTAAGGGGTAACACCCAGAAGCTGGAAACTCAACATAGCAAGACGGAATGTAGACACAACTTCTACTCCTTAAGAGTTGTCAAATGCTGGAATTCGCTGCCGGCCGAGCTAGTCCAAGCGACTTCTCAGGAGTCCTTCAAGTGGCAACTTGACCTGTTCTTAAGGACCAAGGACAGTATCACACTATAATTTACCAATTTCTATCCTCTTTTATTGTTAACATACCTAGGTTCCTGCCTGGAGGATTTGGTGATCCCCTGCTACTAGACACGGAAGCCTGTTAAGCGAAAGCTTCTTCTATTCCGTCCACAACCATTTGAACCATTTGAAGTGTGAGCGGGTATTCTGAAAAGACAAGGTTATCCGTTCGTCATTTTCGTGTAATAAAGTTAGTTTGTTTATACCATGATTATTCATAACGAAGTTAGAAATAATATGGGGGAGTTAGCTAAAGAGAATTTGTTAGCCTTGAAAGTACAGGTTTTGTTATCAGGAGGATGTTTTCGGGCACTATTCGGGCAAAATAGATCTGAACCAGTACTAGTTGATATCTTTACTTGATATTATTGTTATCAGCACAGTTGTCACGGAAGAAATTAAATCGTTAATGGTTATAAATACAAAGGAAATAAATATATACACTGTGTTAGAATACTGAAAACCGTATTGTCGAGATGAAGATTGTGAAGCTGATTTATTTACGGGTTTAATTAGAAAATTATTGTTCATTCGAAAACTGGCATTTTAAATCAGTCTATTATGGGCTAGTTATGATGTTTATCGGAGTTTAATGTGTTGATTTATGGTTGTATGGTCAACTAACCACCTCTCATAATGACCCACCTTTTCAAGTTCTATGAATGTTTATACGAGAACTAATTTTCACGTCTTCGCCTAAGTTAACGTGTTATCTGGTGAGTATTCTCGTAGTTCTCTCCTACGTTGTAACTGAAATGTATACAGTATTCTGTCATAATTTAATCTCTTTGTTTTCGGTTTACCAGGTGTGATTTCATTATGAACAATTGTATCTAAATATTTTGGCAACTTAACTATAATTTTCCAATACACATAGATCTCTAGACCTCATTCCTTAGATATTCGACGTGATTTAACTAGTGAACATCTCTTATAACTATTAAATCTCACATTTAATTTGATTTGTGCTCCCACTCATGAGAGCAAAACAAAATATGAGATTGTGCTAAACAGAATTTACTGACAGAAAGCACTCCAAGATTTAGAATTGAACACATCCTAGATTCTGATGGATCAACTAATCTGAGTTCAGTTTAGTCTCGGCATGAAAAGTCACTTCTCCAATTGATACAGTGAGTTTTGAACAAAAAGTGGTGTAGGATCGAATTTTACTTGTCCTTACTGCCTTAAAAAAATATATAATTCTATACAGTTTACACTTGATGCATTATTTCTTGACTACTGATTATTTCCATTGTTCAAGAACTACTATGAGTTTAAATTTAACGGATGACGAGTTAGTGGACATGACAACAGCTGATCTTCGATTGCTGCTAGAAAAAAAACGTGTAACAATTGAGGAACACAAAGAACTTCGTAGTCGGAGACGTCGTTTGCAAAATCGGAAGTACGCACGCAAATGTGCTAGCAAAAAGCAATCCGAAGTGGAAAACTTAGCCACCCAGGTGAAGGAAGAGGTTGTTGAAATCCAGGTAGGCTATTTGTAATCTATGTCAGTTTTCGCACAAATTATAGACCAACTTCCAAAACAGGCTCCATGTCTTAACATCCCGAGAGTTTCGCAAGTAGCATAACGCAAGTATCAAACAGATACGCGTGCTTAGTCTACAGCATCCAAATGAGTGTTATTTGTATCGTGTATGTATCAGGCTGAATCCAAGTCTAGTAATAAAGAGACATGATTTTGACGGTTATCTACTCATAATATTGATTCTTTTAGTGATTTATGGCTCTTGAGTTGAAGGCTTGCTGTTTTTTATATGCCATTTGAACTCACTGGATACTGAGCTGGCATTTTATTTATCTTGTACACTCTTTCTTTGGTGGCTTTATATTTACTGACTTATTTATTAAGTAACAGTCTGTTATTGGTTATTTGCTGTGGATCCAAGTCATACGAATAGTTTTATTTTGTTTTTATTTATTGGAGAATCACGCACGACTACGCATATTTGAATGTTTTAGTTGTCTGTTGATAAATGTGCATTTTGATAACAGTGAGCAACATAAGACAATAATTTCTGTACTAAATGATAAGGCCATGTACCCCATCTAACTGTTTCTCAAAAAATGTCGTTAAATTAGATGGACAGTAATTTTTCTAAGTGTAATACAATACGAAAAGTCTTATTCTATGTAAAAATGACTCTGGTTTACTTTTTTAAATATATTTTATATGGTGTAGTTAAGAAAGGTAGGCTAAAATGTTTAATCGTTCTACGAAAAGTTAGTGCATAAAGAAAAAAAAACTAACTCATTCTCCAGTTACTTGTGTGTGAGCCACATTGGAAATGTGAGGGCTAGTGATACTACAGGGTGCTCCAAACTGAAGCGAAACAGGATTCAAACCCTAAACTTAATAGCTGAGAGCCGAACACAAGTATGTTGATTATCTCATCCATTTTCACGCATCCCTTCCAAACGGCACTAACCCTTAACAAATCGATAGGCAATTATCATGGAAAATAAAATTATTCGAAAATAAGTGGTAAGTTTTAGACGAAAAATGCTCATAATAAGACTAAAATATTGTGATATTCAGAATTTAGCGCAAGATAAAGCATGGATATATCTACACTTTTGTGTTTTTTGTTAAGGTAATATAACTCAGTTCAAAAGCTTTATCAATGAAGTCCACATTTCCATACACGATTCAAATCACGGTCAGTGTACATTTTCTTGTGGATCAGTTTTCTTTGTAATGATTTTCTTTACTTTCTTTGTATTTGACGAATTTCATTTTAGGCTCTAAGAACTCAGTTATCACGAACCAACTTGGCGACAAAACACTTAGAACACCAATTACGCCGCATAATGGAATTCAAGGAAAAGTGTCTCAATAATGAAAGTAATGGATTTCAGATAAAGACAATCCGCATGTTGAATTCTAACGGTCAACCTGCTGGATTTGCTTACATTAATTCGACGTTCTCTTCTAATTTTATGGGTCCTAAGACTCATGAAGTTGTCCATCCAACAGATAAAAATTGCGATGTCATAGAAATTGCAACTTGTTCAAAGTATAACCCTCTATCTTCAGGTTCCAGTAAATACAAATACAGTCTAGAAGAACACCCTTCCAACGTTTATCCACGTCAAATACCTACGGTTTCGCAATTTTCTTCAGGCCTTGGCTTCCCTGGTACAAGTTCACCTGTACGTTTTTCATGTAACCCTCCTTGTCACTTCAAAAATCATCTTCAAATGCGTCTGGTTAGACCAGTCGGTGGAGGCTTCGCATCACATGGCAGAGGCATGTCTGAATATTAATATCAGCTTCCAATATCATTTCTCTTCGGTTAAATACAGCACCCCGAATACCAATATCATAAATGGAATAATTTATTAGCCCATATTCATGCATACCTGAGTGAACCCAAGATTTTCCATTTTACTGTGATCAAATATTATTTCCATTGTTTTCTGTTCATTGTTTGTCCTATGTTAATGCTAAAGTTTTGTGGCTTTGTCTCATTTATAATAAAAACAAGTATAAAACCGTTTCTTTCAACCTCATGTTTCAGCGTAATAATGGAACTTTTACTACTTGGTTGATGCTCAGTGTTCTTATACTCTGGGTTGGAACGTGTTACCAAGATGAGAAAGAATGGTCTCATCTTCTCGATATTAAGTTGTGGTTTTTTCTACCGAAGATAAGCATTACTAATCAGCTTTCTATGGAGTTCGTTAAGATAGTATAGATTGCTTGCTCGATATAGTGATTTGGTTGACAGGAGGTCATAAACTCGGGTTCCTTGTTTATTCTTAACAAAACTTGATCAAATATTTGTGATCTTTCGTATAACTAATTTTCGCAATAAAATATCTTGATAATATGACACGGATATGTACTGAAGCTTTGTTTATCACAAACAATTAATAGGTGTAAAAATAGCAGTGCAACCTATCGGTGACTTAAACCAACAAGTTAGAGAATTCTAGTCGGTTTCCGGGGCATCTTCTGAATTGATAAGCGATCGCGAACTCACGTAGTCAAAATCCGGACATGATGACAAGCTACGGTAACTTCAAACATAGACTAACCAGTACTAGACAGCGAAGGCAAAAGAAATAGAAAGTGCTAGTGTCAGGTAATATTGGACAACGTTTCATCATTATTGGTGAAATAGGTATATTTTCGGGTGTTACTGAAATAGATGACATTTCTATTTGATTAAGGCTCTGACAGAAGATGGAGTCTTCTGATCGTCTTGAGCAACAATGTAAACATATTTTTTATGCATTTCTCTTCATCTAAGTGCAAAACGTTGCTCCAGTATTGTTGCACCATCAATCACAAGGAATACGTTATTTCAGTTCCTCATCCAATACAAGTATCGTGGATGTCCCAACAGTTGTGGTGTTTTGGTATCTGATGAGATTACAGGACATTCAGAAAGCTCGATGGACTTGTGACAGGGGAGATGTCCGTCTACCAACCACAGGACAAGTGTACCGTAAAGCAGTTTACTGTGTTGTACTTTATAGCTGTAAGATGTAACCTTCAAAAATAGATGTTCGTAGGTTACGATTATTCGGTCATAAATCCCTAAGATGCATTGGTCGTATATGTTGAGACCATTGGGTTAGCGATTCTGAGGTTAGACGCAAGATATTAAGTAAGAGTGGGAAGTCTCTCGGCGAGGTAGTAAATCTTCATCGACTGAGGTATTTGGAACATGGATTACCTATTCACATTTACCGACTACCACGATGCGCGATGCTACATGATGTAGGAGCTGCTAACTCTTGTTACCCCTCGTAGAGGAGCATAGGCCATTCACCAGGATTCTCCATCGAGCTCTGTCCTGGGCGATTATCCCCGGTTGCTATTTATTCTATTGACATCTGCTTCCAATCCTCGACGTAATGTTTTTGTTGGTCATCCTCTTTTCCGTTTCCCTTCGGGATTTCAAGTTAGTGCTTGCCTCTTGATGCAGTCAGATGGTTTCCGCGATGTACGCCCTGTCCATCCCCAGCGTCTCGGCCTAATTTCACCGTTATCTGGAAACTCATCTGTTCTTTACTACAGTAGGTTGTTGCTGATGGTATCTGGTCTAAGGACATTGAGTATCTTGCGTAGACAATTGTTTATAAGTATTTGTACCTTTTTGATGATTGGAAGGAAGATAAAGGTGACCAAAATAATTAAGACATGACAGTGTTCAATGAAGTTGTTAACTTTTACGTAGAGCCATATGAGTAACCTTATACTAATCGGTTGACGTCATCGCCGCTGTCGTAACCGATTTTCGGAGACTTTGGGTGTTGTACCTCAGCATCGATTGTGATGAACAGTTACACCCACTCTCTGTTTCCTCGTAGATCCTTGGTCTCAAAACTTATCTAATACTTTTATCTCTGATTACATGCTTTCTCGAACCACATTGTCTAAGCCCTATCTTTCAACTATTGTATTTGTCTTAATAATTTTGTCTATGTGCTAATATAGTGTGGCAACTTGAACTAGTGTAGACATAAGCCAGGGTGTATATTGTGTATGACTGACCGAAACAGTAAACGGTAGATGAGTCTGACATCATGTTTCCTCATCTACAATTAATCTGCGAAACAGAAAACTAGTTCTTGACTGAGTGGTTTCCTAATCCCATAGAAAAATAAAGCTAGTATATTCAAATGTGTTTAGTTTGTTCCATAAACGAATTAGCTAATTAACAAGCTAAAAGATAAGTCAATAGGAAGATGATAGTGTCTAAAAACGTGATAAGGATAAAGGACTCTGGGGATTATGAATGAGGAGGAAAATGAGTCAGATATAAATTTTAGCACAATCTGATACCGAGAACTACAATTTAGGCGATAGTCTGCAGTTGTTTATTGGACTGTTTTATGAATTGTATCACTGCATCATTCAGCTAGTGTATTAATTAGCATTGCTAAAAGTTTGACTCTCCCCAATACATTAGTTTTATGGTATAATGAAACATTTTCAGACTTGTATAACACTATCATTAACTCACAATTGATTGATCACTGGGTAGTGATCAGTGTCATGTGTGATTACTTCTCAGTGGTATAGGAGGTCGGTCGTGGCCCGGATAACCCAGTGGTAATCGAAATTGCTTCCTAAATCTTCACTGATGGATATTATATTAGCTTAGTCGACAAAATCTAATAGAATTCACTCTCATATAGCTTCCCGAGTAAGCTTAACATTAACTCAAAACTATAGGGATCAGAATTTTATGGACAGCCTGGGCTTTCTTAATGTTACAGGTTCGAATTTTTAATTGATCATCGTCAATACAAAACCACAACTTATTGATGATAACTCTGATATGTTACTTCACTTAGCATGCCGTATTTCTGCGACCGAAATTCATCAGTGATGTATTGTTCCCTATTCTACACCTTATCTAGTGTTCTACCAAATAATATTATTAAGACAATAAATTAGTTTCATGAAAAATCCTGGAAAAGTGTAAGTTCATATCAGAAACTCGACTGTACGTAACTTTAACAATCACTTTAATTTTCCTACAATAAAATAAGGGAATTCGAAGAGTATTTACTTTTATAAGTACGCAATCAAGCCTGACATTAAATATTACTTCGAAAGAATGAAGGTTATTTATTATTTCAAATATTCCTTTCGTATTTTTGTAGAAGAGCATCGTCATAGATCTTGTTGCTTTTACCAAGGGATTACTAGACAGTTCCCGAAAATCACCTGACAAAAACATACTGTTAGTCCACTAAGTAATCGGTTGTTAGACTTAGCTTTTTCGGTAGATCCAGACCCCACATAATGGTAATTTACAACTAAAATCCTTAGGTAGTATGATTGGGAACTAATCCCAATGGCTGTTTTGCCTTCATTTTTTAGATTATATGCTTTGCTAAAAATACAAGTTGAGTGAAGAAATAATTCTTCTCAAATAGTTCCCCGTCGTGGTTCTATAGTAATATGTAGGTTTTATAATTAAATGTGAAGTAAATACTAAGGAAGTGGAATATAGTCAGTTTAACATTATCTAAATATAATGATCCAACGAGTGCATATTTAAACCTAAAACAGAATTATGCAATCGGCTACTTATCTAAACTAGTTATTTAAGAAGAAGGAAAGTAATTGAGTAACTTTGAAATTAAGCAACTGAATATGAATGTATAGTGTCGCTTGTAAAATAACAGTGAGTAATTAATGAGACGAGTGCAGACAAAATTTGATTATCAATTACCGGGGTAGATTACGTAATACACTTTTAAGGAAAGTATCAGTAGTGTGAGTTTGGTCAAATCGATGTCTTTAGTAAACTAAGAGGCTGAACACAAACATTATGTTTATTAACTGATATTTCTATAGCTCCAGCTATAAGTAAAAGACAGATTCTAGGAGCATGGATCAAGTTCGACGGAACCATATAGTCAACTTTGTGTTGATGCTATGACTAGTATTAACTAGATGCTTTAGAATAGGACTTAATAATGTCTTTTCTTGTCCTTTGGTCAACTATGAGGCTGATGCTCATATTATTACTATGACTGACACTGATTATTTGGACTTATTCTTTCGCATCTTGCTGATGTGGCTTACGGCAAATTTGTCCATTGGCTAAGACGAACTACATTTAAAAAGTGTTCAAAACCAATGACAGAATATACCCATTATCCCCTAATTATTGATGAAGTAGAAATTGTTTGGTTTGCATATATTTAAACCATCTGATATTAATGAAAAAAATGTACAACATGCAATGAAATCGTAACATTTCACTATCAATAATTTGATAACTGATAACATCAAAACAGCGTAAGAATGAATTTCAATTTAAATAATAAATCATCTAGACTTTTATCTTTAAAAAGACATACCAATACACTAAGCTTGGGAAAGAACATAGGTACTTTATTTCATACAGTCTAAAGGTTTTTAGAATTGATGATTTCGTGTTTGACTTTTTTTAGCGTTGCAGTCTCTCTACTGTTTAATATAATGTTCTTCACCCACATGTACTTTCACAGTTCAGTAAATATATATGGTTAGTGTTTGGATACTGACCACTCCTGATAATATTACGGTACTAATAGTATCAATCATTTTATCTAAGGTATTGATCTTCCAAGAGCAATCAATGAAAATTTTTATCTTCTGTTATAAGACCACTCATTTGACGAATATTGTTGAGCAACTGAATTAAGTTATGTTGTTTGGTAAAAAATGTCATTAATCAAAAGTATATCATCAAGATGCCTCGCGTTAAAATTAAATGTCGAGAAAAAAAAGCCTTTTTGAATCTGACTAGACAGAACTTTTCCTTTCTCAAAATCTCTATCAATTTGATCTTAGGTCAGGGATAGTAAAAAGAAGAGTTTTAGAAATCTATTTATTTGTTATTGCCCTATACATGTCGCATAAAATTTGATCAATGTATTTACCGAGATAACTAGTTCATATTTTCAAGTTTACATCTTAAATCTCGAGTTCATTCCATGAATTCGTATTGAGACTTTCGAACAAATTATGAAGACTACAAAACTATCCATTAT